GTGGTCTCAGTACTCAGGTTTCCCAGAGGGACCCCAGAATCCGTAGGGAGGCCCGGGATCGCGAGGAGTGCCATCTCCTGGCAGGTGGGCAGTGGGCTGTCCCGGGATGCGTCGCTGTCATCTGGGGAGCAGAAGTGACAGTTCCTCTTCCGAGGCCAGAGGAGGCTGTTGAAAGAGGATGCAGACAAAAGGAGAGGGGGGAGGCAGACACAGGGCAGAGCCGGCAGTGCGCAGGGGAGCGGGGAAGTTGGGGGATGTGCAGACAGCTCGGCCCCGGAGGTCTCAGTAGACAGCTGTCACTAACTCTAGGCCAGTCACATGGCTTTTTGCCCCTCCTGTAAAACAAGAGAGTCTAGCGATGACCCCTGAGGTCCCTTTCAGACAAACAGTCTGTGATGCTGGCCAGGCTCTGGCGATGCTTTGGGGGCAGGAGGCCACTGCACGATGAGCGGGTGGAAGTGTGTGAACTCCTAGCTCCACCATCAGCTGCCCGAGAGGCCGCTACAGCGATGCAGGGACAGGCCCCATGGCCCCTGCCATCATTCCCAAGATGACCAAAGCCAAGCGGACGCCACGGGGCCCTCCCTTGTTCCCACGTGATAAGTTCCAGACACTCCTCCAGAAGCCCTAACCCTTAGTCTGCTTTGATTTTTACTTCCATGGGCAAAGCACACCTGGGATCCCTCCCAAGGCGTTCTGTTCAGTTTGATGTGCAAGGGAGGGTTCAGGATCCCGACGTGAGTTTTTTTGTTTGTTTTTTGTTTGTTTTTGACAGGCAGAGTGGACAGTGAGAGAGAGAGACAGAGAGAAAGATCTTCCTTTGCCGTGGGTTCACCCTCCAATGGCCGCTGCCGCTGATCCAAAGGCAGGAGCCAGGTGCTTCTCCTGGTCTCCCATGGGGTGCAGGGCCCAAGCACTTGGGCCATCCTCCACTGCACTCCCTGGCCACAGCAGAGAGCTGGCCTGGAAGAGGGGCAACCGGGACAGAATCCGGCGCCCCAACCGGGACTAGAACCCGGTGTGCCGGCGCCGCAAGGCAGAGGATTAGCCTAGTGAGCCGCGGCACCGGCCACGAGTTCTTCATTATACAGATTCCACACGTGAGATGGGTGCATGGGGGACGGAGAGTGGGGGTGTCCTGAGCGGGAGAATGGCCCTTCCCGTCTGTGATGGCGCCCTCTCTCCACTCACGCCAGCACTCACGCCTACAGGGCCACTTCATCCACATCACAGCCTCTCGACTCTTTTGTTTGTGAGCAGGTGTGAGCTCACAGCACAGCTGGTCAGGAGGGGACGCGGGGAGGACTGTGGGGCCCGACCCAGCCAGCAGACGAGAAGGGGCCCCGGGGAAACTGCCCGCCTCCCGCAGTCTGCAGACCAGTGGATAGGAAACTCCACCAAGAGAGCAGCTCAGTCGAAGTGACGCGCCCAGAATAAGCTCCGTGGAGCTGGAAAGCAAACAGGAAAATGAGATGGAGCAAGGAGCAGATTTTTTTTCCTCCAGAAAAACAATGATCTTGAGAAAGAGGCCTGGGTATATTTCAACTGCCCAGCCCTTGTCTAATTTTGAGTAAGCCCTCCTAAAACAAACGTCAGACAGATTCTGATTTTGCGAGCTTTCGCCTGGGATTCTTCCACAGCCCTGCGTGGGGTGGCAGCAGCAGGAATGGGCGTTCCCGGGACAGCGTTGCTGTGTCACCAAAGACGTGAAGATGGGGAGGGGGCTGGGTGCCAGGCCAGCGGGCTTGGGAAGGCCGCAGCACCCACTTTCAAAGGACGTGGAGCCCTGCAGTTCCGACCGCCTCGCGCCGGCTGTCCCCAGTGTAGAGACAATTCTCCCGTCAAGGGGAGGGGCAGTGACTCCCTGGGGTGTGAGGTGGGGACTACGCATAGCACAGTGCTTCCATTTGTAAGGCTCCTCTCCTCCTTCATTTATTAAGAAGTACACAACAGATACACACCTACAGTAAAAGGCAAAAAATAGGAACAAGCAAAGCATTTTACAAAATCGCTCCAAAATTATCCCATGTCTTTCCAGAAAGCTCTCTAAACATTTTCACATATACCTGCTGTGTGTGTGTGTGTGCAAATACGTGTGAACACATATACAATCTTTTTAAAACACGAAGCCATACAAAAGAATAGCTCTTCCTCCTGCTCACTTAATAAACATTAAATATACTTCCGGGTTAGAAAAACGTGCATTAAAAGGTTCCTGTTGGAGACTCACAGACCAAATTTGGCACCGAGATAATTTTTGTTTGATGGTGTGTGTTAAAAACTTGAGTTTAGGGAGCCAGTGCTGTGGCACAGCAGGTTAAGCTGCCACCTACAGAGCCAGTATCCCATATGGGCGCCAGTTCGAGTCCTGGCTGCTCCACTTCCATAGCTCTCTGCTATGACCTGGGAAAGAAGATGGCCCAAGTCCTTGGGCCCCTGTACCCATGTGAGAGAGCTGGAAGAAGCTCCTAGCTACTGGCTTTGGCCTGCCCAGCTCCGTCCATTGCAGCCATGTGGGGAGTGAACCAGCAGATGGAAGATCTCTCTCTCTCTCTCCCTCTCCCTCTCTGTAACTCTGCTTTTCAAACAACAAATAAGTCTTTTTTTTTTTTTTTTTTTTGACAGGCAGAGTTAGACAGTGAGAGCGAGAAACAGAGAGAAAGGTCTTCCTTTTTCCGTTGGTTCACCCTCCAATGGCCGCTAAGCCCGGCGCGCTGCGCTGATCCGAAGCCAGGAGCCAGGTGCTTCCTCCTGGTCTCCCATGGGGTGCAGGGCCCAAGGACTTGGGCCATCCTCCACTGTACTCCCGGGCCACCGCAGAGAACTGGACTGGAAGAGGGGCAACCAGGACAGAATGCGGTGCCCCAGCCGGGACTAGAACTGGGGTGCCGACGCTGCAGGCAGGGGATTAGCCTAGTGAGCCTCTGCGCCGGCCAACAAGTAAGTCTTTAAAAAGGGAAATATACAAACATTTGAGTTTGGATGCCCTGGAATGGGACATGTCCTCAGAATTCCTGGGGGACCCCCGCAGGCACCTGGGCTTGCCACCATGACTTTGACAAGGTCATGGGCAATCCCAGTCAATCAAACGTCAGGCTCTGTGGGGCGCTGGTCCCGGACCCCGGCAACACTCACGCCTGCGGACGCTGCGTCCCTTTCAGACAGTGGTGTGCTGCCTGCTTACAACCTCAACACAGCGTCCCGCGTGCTTTCGTTCGTCCAGCTCAGGTCACCACCTGTGAGCCGGGTACGTGGTTCTCGCTGCACTGCTTAGGAAGGAACGCCGAGGGGAGGAGCTGTACCTGTTCAGCCGGACGCAGATCTTTTTCCTGGGTATGTTCGGTTCGCAGGTTGTCGGCTCCATGGCACTGAAGGGTGGCTGCTTTCTGCTTTATCCAAGTCTCCCCAGCCACTGCCCTTTGGGGCCAGACACATCCCTGTAATCTAGACAGGACACAGAGCACATGGGCAGCCAGCAATGAGACAGGTCAGTGCAACAAGCGACGTGACCAAGATGTCCCTCCGAATTTCCGCATGCCCCCGAGGGAGGAGGTCCTGGCCCCAGTTTGCGAAGCTCTGCATTGAGTAAAGATCCCACTCTTCTAACCCAGCATCTTACTTTGGATCTTTGTGCAGAACCGTGTGCCCCAGCAGGCTATGACGTGGAGCTGTGTCAGGTGTGAACAGTACGCAGCGCAGAAGTCTCAACAGCCAGATACAGCTCCTGGTTCTGTCCTCTTCCAGATGTGAATTAGTGCCTCGGTTTCTGCATCTATGAAATGGGAAGAGTGATAGTATCTCACCGAGTTCCTGTGGCAGGCCAGTGAGGCGCTGGATAAACACTCAACCGTGACGGTGACTGTTGAGAAGGGGGTTGGTCTATTTAGGAAAGTGCACATTTGTTTTGAGTACAGTTTGGTGATAAGATCTGGGACAGGATGAGATATGAAGACTATTTATTTTAAAGATTTTATTTGTTTATTTGAGAGGTAGAGTTACAGACAGAAGGAGAGACAGAGAAAGGTCTTCCTTCTGTTGGTTCACTCCCCAAGTGGTCACAACAGTTGGAGCTGGGCTGACCTGAAGCCAGGAGCCAGGTGCTTCTTCCAGGTCTCCCATGTGGGTGCAGGGGTGCTTGGGCCATCCTCCACTGCCTTCCTAGGGCATCGCAGAAAGCTGGATTGGAAGTGGAGCAGCCAGGACTTGAACTGGCACCCACATGGGCTGCCGGCACTGCAGATAGAAGCCTAGCCTACTACGCCACAGTGCCGGCGCTGGTATGAAGATTATGACAGATGTCATCATGTGATTGGCTAATGGCCTCTGACCGCAATGAGCAGGTTGTTCCTTGGGGTAATTGCAGATTGCAGATCAGACAATAAGCAGAGACAACTGCTCATTTGCACACACAGACATACCCTGAGCAGCAGGGAAATGAGCCATTTAAAGTAATTATATTGTGACCCTGGACCATGGGAGAGTTTATTGTGACTTGTTGCAAAGGGACAAGTAAAGATTGTCCTGCCCTCTCCCTGTGCTCAGACCTCACCTGAAGGCAGACACCTGCCAGGGGCCTCCAGTTCACACTCCTCCAGGTGCTCCGGGCACCCTGTTAAGTCTCCCTCTCCCACTGGTGATGGAGCTTTCTCGTGGCCTCACATGTGGGTCCAGCCAGCACCAGAGGTGGGGTAAAAAGATGCCCCATGTCCATCTGGTGTGAGGTTTTCTTGGGTGGATCCATTCTAGAAAGAATGGAGATGGTTTCTATGAAAATCGTAGCATTGAAATTATCCAATCAAAGCTTTTGGACGGGCTTGATCTTTTTTTTTTTTTTCAGTTTTTCAGTTGTTTATTAGGGGTCCTGATCTAAATATTGTATTCAAAACATCAAAAAATAGAAGTGCCAACCACTCTCAAGGCTGAAATAACCAATGTGTAAAACTTCTTACTCTTATTTATTTGAATGGCAGAGAAAACAGAATTTTATGTATTCAGCTTCCTCATCTAGACAACTTTGGCTTTGTAGAGTCAGTAATACTAAACTGCCTGTTGGGTTTCGTGGCTTCTTGCATCAGCTCTTGCAACTGTCCAATCTGCTCGTCACGAAAGTCATTTAGTTTTTCTTCTGGGAGAAAGGTGCCAAAACATGCTTTTTCAGTTGGATTTTGTCTGTTGTTGTTGGCTTGTTGCCATAACACTGTCGCATACACCCTTTTCTCTGCGGACCCTTTTCTCTGCCAGGCTGGCACCCTGGGGTTCTAGTCCCGCTCGCCCCTCTTCCAGGCCAGCTCTCTGCTGTGGCCCGGGAGTGCAGCGGAGGATGGCCCAGGTCCTTGGGTCCTGCACCCACATGGGAGACCAGGAGGAAGCACCTGGCTCCTGGCTTCGGATCGGCGCAACGCACCGGCTGTAGCGGCCATTTGGGGGTTGAACCAACGGAGGAAGACCTTTCCCCTCTCTCTGTCTAGCTCTGCCTCCCATTCCTGCAGGAAACGCCGGGCCTCGTCAGAACCAACGGCCTTATGCCTCCTAAACTCGTCCTTCACGTACTGGTCGCCCAAGGCTTTGAGGTCAGGGGGCAGCACCCGGTGCAACTGCAAGATGCGTCTGTACAAGGCTCGGACCTTGCTACCGTGCGACCCGGCCATTGAGCCCGGCGCCAGGCTTGATCTTTTAAAAAATAAATAGCTTGAAAAATTTTCTGCTGCTTCATTAACTTAATGTTTTGGGACCAGTGCTGTGGCATAGAGGGTAAAGCTGCCGCCTGCAGGGCCGGCATCCAACATGGGCACCATGTTTGAGTCCCAGCTGCTCCACTTCCCATCTAGCTCCCCGCTAATGGCCTGGGAAAGCAGCAGAGGAGGGCCCAAGTGCTTGGGCCCCTGCATCGGCATGGGAGACCTGGAAGAAGCTCCTGGCTCCTGGCTTCAGATCATCACAGCTCTGGCCATTGTGGCCATATGGGTAGTGAACAAGCAGATGGAAAATATCTTTCTCTCTGCCTTTGCCTCTGCCTCTCTGTAACTCTGCCTCTCAAATACATAAATAAATCTTAAAAAAAAAAAGAAAGAAAGGAAAAGATAACAGCTACGGTTGATACAGCGCTGGACTGGTACCAATGTGCATTGCTTGAATCCTAGTGGCAGCCCTGTAAGGGGGATGCCTTTATACACATTGTACAGACAGGAGACAGGCTCACATCTAGCAGAGTGAGGATTCCAAAGCAGTTTGTTCTGGACCCAAGACCCCTGTGTCCTCAGCCAGAGCCCTAGGGGGCGCTGCTGTGACCTCGATGGCGTTCAGCTCTCAGAAACAAGAAGTCAGCGTACAGCAGGTGCACCTCTGCAAGCCGATGGCAAACTGAATCCCACACCCTGGAATCCCAGCACTGGGGAGAATCCTCTAGAAAACTTCTAGCTATATTCACATACATGTTCACACACACACATACACACACACACTCACTCACTCTTCCAACTAGTTTACCATCCTTCCTGCCCAGACAGTCCCTAGCCAGGGAACATGAGTGAGGTGGGATTCCAGCCTGTGCGTCAGTGATGTCCTGTGGAAACATTGCCCCCACCCAGAACCTTCTCTGTCCCCGGAGGTCAGCCACGGAGGCTGCATCATCTCTGCCTGCCCCCGAGATAGCGTCTCGTCAGCTTCACAGAGCAGGGGAAGTGATGGAGAGCCCCCGTCTCTCTCTCTTTAAGGAGATTTTTAAACCATTTTAAAGATTTATTCTCATTGATTTGAAAGGCAGAGAGAGAGACAGAGACAGATCTTCCATCCGCCAACTCATTCTGCAAATGCCTGCAACAGCTGGAGCTGCGCCAGGCTGAAGCCAAGATTGAAAACGCCATCTGGGTCTCCCACGTGGGCGGCAGGGCCCCAAGTACCTGAGCCGTCACCTGCCGCCTCCCGGGATGGGGAGTAGTGGGAAGCTGGAATCAGAAGAGGGCTGAAGACTCGAATCCGAGCATTCGGCTGTGGGATGCAGGTGCCTCAAGCAGTGTCTTAACTGTTATGTCAGACACCCGCCATCTGCTGTGGCCGTTCTCTGCCTTGCTTCTGGATGCGGACCCTTTGTGAGGGTGGAGGGGAGTGGGAGTCTTATTCACTCACGCGGGCCCTCCTTAAGTACCACGAGTACATACAGTCTGGCGGAGTTCAAAGAGCACTCGAAGAGGAGTCAGGGGCCTGGGTTCGAGTCCCAGCTCTGCCGCCAGCCAGCCACGTGCGTGTAGGCAGCCCACTTTCCCATCAGGGAACTTAGGTTCTTCCCCTCCGCAATGAAGAAGTCGCTCATGGCTGGCGAGGCGCAGAGCTGAAGCTCCTTGTGGTGCAGCTGGCGGGGGGGGGGGGGGGGCGGAGGGGGGGAGGGACACAGGCGACGGTGAAGGCGATTTCCGGACGACGTCTTTGCCATTGCATTGGACATCAAGCGGGGCCAGCCTGGCACCGCTGTCGCAGTCTGCATGGTGGGTAGGCAGGGCCAGGAAGGGAAGGAAGGTTGTTTCAGGACCCTCGGGGGTCTCGGGCAAGAACCCAAGATCTCCGCTTGGCAGTGAGGAGGAACACGAGGGTAAAAGGACCCTGATATAAAACAGACAAAGAAAGCAGAACTTCCTGGGTGCTGTGAGGCCAGCTCCTGCTCAGGGCGGGTGGGCCAGTGCCGGGCCACGCCTTCCGCGCCAGTCACATCCAGGTTTGAACCCTGACTCCATTATTTAGGAGCTGGGTGACTCGGGAGAAGTTACCTACCCTCTCTGGTCCTGGGATTTCATCTCTAAAATGGAATTAATCACAAATACCGAATCCTAAAGATTGTTTAAGGTTAAATGATGTCAATAAGGAGGCAGAACACTTAACAGAGGGCCCTTTCTTTGGTAGACAATAACTGATGGTTGTTAACATTTTTATTCCCTAAATTCGAGCCAGAAAGCCGCCTGCCGGCTGCGTCTCACTCAGTAGTTCACACCCCGCTGGTGTGTCACCGTGCATGGTGGAGCTCTGTGTGTGGCTGTAGTCTCCTTTCTGTTGTAAGTGTACGTTAAGGACACTGAGCCCCTGGGCCATGCGAGGGTCTAGGATCCCTGAGAACATGGGCGGCTGTGAGTTCTACTTGGGCTCACCGCACCCTCCAGGTGCCCCTGCTGGTATCAGTCCACACTGCTGTCTGCTCCTGACTTGGCCATGAACTCTTCCTACAGTCAACCTGGGGGACCAAGTGGGTAAAGCTGCTGCTTACAACACCGGCATCCCATATGGGCACCAGCTGTAGTCCCGGCTGCTCCACTTCCGATCCAGCCCTCTGCTGTGGCCTGGGAACGCAGTAGAAGATGGCCCAAGTCCTTGGGCCCCTGCACCCACATGGGAGACCTGGAAGAAGCTCCTGGCTCCTGGCTTCAGATTGGCGCAGGTCTGGCCGTTGTGGCCAACTGGGGAGTGAACCAGAGGATAGAAGACCTCTCTCTCTCTCTGCCTCTGTGCAACTCTGCCTTTCAAATAAATAAATCCTTAAAAAAATCTTAAAAATAAATAAATAAATAAAGCCGCCATTGTGGTTAAATCTGCCCAGAGCGCTCCAGGGCTTCACATGGCACTGAGGATGAAATCCAAGATCCCGAACAAAGTCCAAGAGGGAACCTCACAGAGCTCCAGGGAAATGGAACGGATAAGCCGGGCGTGGGCTCTCGGCTAGCAGTTAGGGGCTGGTTCAGGCGCCCAGGTCCTGTACCAGAGCACCTGGGTTCAGCTCCGGGTCTGGCTCTTGACTTCACGGCAGGTGACGGCTCCGGTAGCTGGGTCCCTGCCACCCGTGCGGAAGGCCTGGATGGGGTGCCTGGCTCCCAGCTCCAGCCCAGCCCCATCCTGGCTGTTACGGCACGCTCTCTCTCACCTCCACACTATCCCCTTAAGTGCTTTAGCTCAAATCTGCGACTTATTAGCGGGCAAACAGCTTTCCCACACTGAGCACCAGTCACTGGGGCAGTTGCTTCGCTAACTTGTTTAATCCCAACGACAATCTAACACCGAAGACACTATTGATGCTATTTTATTTTTATTTTTATTTTTTAAAGACATTTATTTGAAAGGCAGCGTTACAGAGGCAAAGGCACCATCCTCTTGGGGTGACTGAAAGCAGGGGCACTGGCAGAGACAACAAGAGGCCCCCTTTCTGGGGACCAGGCAGACTGCTGGCATACGCGGCATCAGCCCAGCAGGAGAGGTACTTAAGAGACAGAGACCCTGGCTGGGTACCAGGGGCTTCCGAAGGCAGAACCAGGTGCTGGGCGGTGCCTCTGGGCCAGGAGGTGGTACTCTGGCTTCTTACTGAGCGAGCCCTGCATCTCTCCCCATCTTCAAAAATAATTCTGTCTGTGTGCTTGCCTGTTTACATGCCCAGTTACGCAAATACTAAGTCTGTCCCCACCTCCCGCCCAGCTCTCTCTGCGTGGGCTCTACCTAGGAAACAGGAAGTACCCCGTGGGTACAACTCGACAGTGTCCTCAATGAGGGCCTGTGGAGAAGGCTGGTTGATGTCTCAGTTGTTTCCCCAGTAGCTCTAGAAAAATGAACAAGCTCAGAGCCAGCCTGAGTTGGGGCAGGGACCATGCAACTTGGTTGATTGCTGGACTTAGGGCTCAACTTTGAAATGCAAAGTCCACCCTGTTCAACCCATTGGACCTCTAAGACGGAGTTAAGTTCCCAGGAAGACGTGGAGGAACAGGTACACAGCATCATTTTACTGCTTCAGTGAGCTAATGTGGCATGGGTCTCCCTCTAGGTGATACGTACGAACCGTAAGCGCACACACAGATGGCCACAGCTTTCAGCACGGAGAATCTGCCTGACCTGTTGTCCTGGACACAGTCTCTGTGGGGAAGAGACCCCACAGCCACCCCCTCCCCCAAATCTGCCTCACCTCTGCCCCCATTTCTCCCCTTTCTTCATTCCCAATGCCGGGGCCAGCGTGTTCAAATTACTTTCATGCCTCCATTTCTTCAAGGTCATGGAAAAGAGACCCACCAAGAACAAGATGAGACCCATAATGCCCTTGGAGCCCCAAAGGGCTGTGGCTGCTGTGCCCCACCCGAGAGCTGAGGACAGCCCAGCTGCCCTGGCTGGCTTCGGTGGCCATCCCCAAAGTGCCCTGGGGCCTCCCCAGCCATGCGGGACTCCCCCACCTCTGGGGTTCCACTTTCCCGAGAGCCAGCCACCTCCTGCCTCCACGTGGAGCCTCTCTCCTCTGCCCAGCCGCCACAGCCGTGGTGCCACCTGCACCGAATCCACAGAGCTCTGCCCCCGAGGCTCCAGCCCTCCTCCCCTGCGGGCCCAGGCCTCTCTCACCCACCTGCCGAGTCCACAGACTCATTCCCCAGCTTCGGGGTGGTGAAAGGAAATGTGAGAGTGATTCTTAGGCATGCACGCACACGAGTTCTACAGGCCCGTGAGCTGTAGGATTAGCTACCCTTCCCTGGGGCCCTACTAGGAGGGGGCTTCAGGAAGTTCCCTTCCATTTCCCCACCATTTTTAAAACTCCTTCGTGTATGCTGGGCACATCTGCTATCTCTTTTAATCCCTCCAAATAGACACGAGGTGGGCACCATTGTGATTCCCACTGCAGAGTAAAGAAACCAGCGTA